CCACCGCTTTCCCAGAGCCGTTGCCGTCGCACTTCTCCCACTGTAAGAACCCGTCGTGTGATATCACGCTGTGGTCGTAAAGGCATTGGAATATCTTTAACAGCAGGTCTACAACAAAGCAATAACATGAGTGTCATAACAGCAAACATGTGCATCGGATGGCATACTTGGCGGGTGTTGCAGTCTCTCCATCAGCTCCTGTAGGACTATCAGAGCCTGGAGTTCACCGTCTGGTTCGCCGCCGAGGAATTTCTGGAGAAGCGGTGCGATCGCTATTAATGTCGGCTCGTCTAATGTCGTCTCTCCGATGTCTTGATGAACTACGAGTATCAATACATAGATATATAAAAACAATTCAACCAACAAATGGTGTATCCGTACCGATAATACATCCCTGGATTATAGCTCTAAATAAGGCACTCGTGAAAACAGCATTATTTGTTTGCGAGACATTGAAATGTTTCTAAAATTAATTACAAAATTATCAGTTAGTCTAGACTTAAATTTAATGTCTTTACACAATAGTATTCAATACTAACGGATATAAAATTCTGTATTTCATCCTTAGATTTCTTCTGTTTGACGAGGTTTTCTATGTCTTCCACAAAATGTGATAACTTTTGTTCCGAATTATTTGATTTATTAGTTGGCGTTTTTGTCGTAAATTCCACGTTCTGTTCAATAAATAGTTCATTATTAAGTATCAATTCATTGTAATATTTGCAATGTATTGAAAATAATTGGCTCACATGTTGTATAACAAAATCTTCAATGTTTTGATTGGAATCTAAAAAGTCAGTCCAATTCACTCCACAACTAAACCATAATTCGTTTGCTTTCGTTTCAGTCTAAAGACAATACAACGCGTTATACGACAATCATTCAAACCGGTCATCAAAAAACTTACTGTGAATATTGAGACGGCTTTTAATATTTTTGCTATAAATTTTGAACTCCTATTCCGATCGCAACGTTTTACTACTTCTAATAAAAATGTTTTTCGATTTGCAGTTAAATTAACAAAAATAGGGGCAATAATATTGCCGATATAGTCCCACATCTNATGTTTTTCGATTTGCAGTTAAATTAACAAAAATAGGGGCAATAATATTGCCGATATAGTCCCACATCTTCGGCACATCCAGTTCTACATCTCCGGAGTACTCGAGTATAGAATTGAGCCTTTGATTGGAATCAATACAACTATTAAAATCAATGCCAAATACATGTTAGTGAGATGTGTTACCCCTTATAGAAGTGGTCGAGTTTTAAACATTGTTTACTAATTAAATGAATAATAAGTTTTCCGATGAGGAAGTGGTCGGACTGACTAGAGTTCTCGAGAGCGCAGTTGATTGCAGACAAGATGTAGACGTCGGCGTTGGAGTCGTTGCATAAGTTGCAAACATCTAACTCGGGTTCGTCAACATTCTTCACATTCAAATACTCTTTGAGAGAAACTTTACATTTCTCTTCTAAGTCTTCGGCCGAAATGGATTGACTGCCTCTCAATTGATTGACTTCAATGTCAGGCGTTTCGCGACGTATAGAACTGTTGCGACTGTTGGGAGCGCTCGCCTCTCGACTATCAC